TCACACGAGCAAGAATATACCTCCTAAGGTGGCAATTCGAATAATCAATGAAAATAATCCCCTGCCACCAGGGATACAGCTTCTGTCCGTCTCTTGATCACTGTAGAAATCAGACAATTCCGAAGAACTGAGTAAGCAGAGAAAACAATGATCAGCAGAATTTTTGGCGGGAATACCAGAGCGAGACGCTGCGCCGCCACTCACCGCCACAGCAAAAAGGCGAATCAGATATGAGATACGAAGATCCACCCTGTGCTGTGCGAGTGAAGTATAGATCCTTGAGAAATCCCCTAATAAGAGAGAATTTACGTTATGAAAACAATGGTCCACGAAATGTCTTTGTACTGCTTTGTACTGCTCACTCATTTCTGAGGCGTCCCGAATGCCAATAAGAAATACCCTAGGAGTGGGGCGGATGTGGTGTAGTGCCAAGTGGGGCTCTATCCTACGCACATGATCAGGGGTTTGAATCCCAGATCGATACCCACTTAGCCCAACCAAGGTTTCCAACCCTCCGGTCGCTTAATTGGTGTCGGACTGGTCTGGGAGGGTGAAAGCACTGACATGTACATCTTCCGGTCACCGCAAGTCATTGTAAAGACCACATACGCATTCAATAGCCACAACGATTCTGAATGGAAGTCGAACGCGAGGCGCGCAGCTCAGACGGGATTGATTACCATCCGAGGTAATGGAATTAATGATGATGAAGAAAAACAGGCGACCACTTTCTTAGAATGCTTCGTTCGCGGACAGCTTTTGTTGGATTTGGCTCATCTTGAATTACCCATACGGTCGACTGCTGTTTACTTCCGGGCTCATACGCGTAAACCCATGATCCATCACCCGTCGCGATGTCATAGACGTGTTTCGAAGCAGCGCGATCGTATTTTTTGAACATTTCTTTCGATCAATCGACACGAGTCTTTTTTTTGAGGGGTTGACAAATTTTGTGAGATCCAACGCAAACAAATTTTTTACAGTCAAATCTTAATGCAATATTGAATGTATGCTGGTTCCTTAAATGCCTAAGGTTGTCCCAATCTCACGATAGGTCACGTGACGATCTTGCAATATTAGTTTGCGCACAGCATCAGAACAACAACTGATTTTGGAGACCTCCACGAAATTCGTTTTGGAGAGAACTACGACCTCGGTTAAATTCACCATACCATCGATAAGTACTGGTCCTTGATGGAGCTTCATCGAAAAGGGGTAGGGGGAAGTTAAGGAGGATGGAGGTTTGGGCTAAGTGGGGTGTGGGGGCGCCAGGGGCCTGAGTAATTTTTTTAAGTTAGTGTGAACAACACAAAGAGCGTTCATATGTCAAAACGTTCTGAGTACGTATAACCTCAAAAATGTTATACTTTACGATAGAGCAGTCACTTGCCAGATTGATGCCAACACACAACACAACTCAATCCCGAAATATAAAAGGCAACCCTCGTACAAGAAACAGCTTGTCATGCAAATTACTACATTACTGTACTGTTCTACAGTACCTACAGACCTTCGGATTTCTATGATCTGTATCCAGAAATTCACTGCAGTAGAGATCCTCAGTACAGGAAAACTTACAGAGGTGCAGAGAAACTAGTCAGTATTCACTTGTAAGAATTTCCGTCCGGCTAGCCATCCATTTTTCGCGCGACCGCCATAACGTCTCTATTAGCCAGTGCATCCCAATGGATCATCGTCGGTACAAGGGACACGGGCCGTGATATACCTTTCGTTCAGAGCCTTTGTGATCTCGAAAAGTCTGAATTCCGCGCTGGCGGCCGTCCTGGGGTCCGATCGACATTAATAGGGGTCCAGACGTGACCGCCCTGTTTCTACGGTGATCACGATATCTCATGACGTAATAGGCCCATCTGACATTTGACTCTTTGGCGAAAGCAGAGAGGTCCCCGATCTCCGTTCGTTGGCGGCACTCGGATGTCCGAATTCCTTTTTACACTTGCGTGTATCGGTAAATTCCGAGTAACGTTCTTTCTACAGCACGTTAAATGGCGCTGACTCATCCTATTGTCAAAGAGTCCACGTTCGCAAAGCATAGTCCGAAGCAGGAAGGACAACAGTGTTAGAAAGTTAACATGGAGCCGGATGTTCTTTGCCTTCTTCACTACTACCTCGTTATTCTTAGATGATCCGCACACCGTGCCCTTCCTTATGCTCAGCTCCGAATCTAGATCATTCATTATTTTGACTTCTCGATCTAAGTACATCTGGCAAGAGCAATTGGAGTTCTCGGTCTACCCTACATAAAAGGAACAACAGTACTAATCCGATTCTCATGAACTTCACCTTCGTTAAGTTCAGTCCCAAGTCAACTTTCCACAAGCGCTGTCAAATTGGCCCAGCATGGCCCGGCCTGGTCGATGTGCCTCTCTATAAGCACGTTGTTTACAAGACGGAGATGATGTAAGTGGCGGCCGTTGGACTCAACTCCCAAGAATTTCTCTTCAAAACGATGTATGATGTCCTCAAGATCGGCACTGAAAAGTTCCGGCTAGGTTGAATCGCCCTGACAAACTTCGCTCTTCACGTTGCGCCTACTTCTTTCTAGAATGACGAAGCGGTCATGGATTTGTCGTAGAGCACACGAAGCATTCTTCAATACTGATAAGGAACACATGGGTTGTCCAAGGCCACAGTTATCGCTTCTATCTCGGCTATATTAAAATCCCCTTCAATTTTTTTTTCGATGAATATCAGTCTTAAGGGTATTCTCGCAATATTCTAATGAGTCTTGAAAAAGTACGGATGTGAGCGGTTGTGATAAACTCCTTCGTATGTTAACAGATTACATACAACAGGCAGATTGGCAAATCGCCTGGATCTTCCTTCTTATACAGCAACACAGTCTCGCTAGCTTTCCACGACGTGATCCTCTGCATTCCGAAAGGTAGCACGTAAAAAGCTTAGTTAGAGTTCTGACGGCAACCGGTGGAGAATTCTTTAGATGTTCTTGTTTAATCCTATCTAGACCGAGCGCTGTGCAACTTTATATCGACGTGGTGGCATGAAGAGTTTTGGAAGAGAGAGCTGAAGAAACGACATATCCATCCGCTTGATATGGTAGGTAAGCAGGTAGACATAGTTGTCAAAGGCACATATGCTATGAAAGGGAGTAAGCATTACCTTGTGATTGGCAAAGTCCCATCGGGCTTCGCAAATGTTACTTCCGACCTCGGCACTTTGGCCAGATTTGCTGTTGTTTCCTCTTTTAGATTTATGTAATAGGACTTAAAATCCTCTATTCCTTCTTATGATCATTCTTCTTGTTTCCCTGCAAAACTTCGCATGCTCGAACATTAGTTGTCGACTGTGTGTCGAGCCCCTCCCTGTGGTGTAACATGAAAATCTTTGAAAAAAGGCTTGAAATCTCATGACAAACTGCGGGCTCTCGGCTCTTCCAGCACTATCGCTAAGGTGCTTGACTATTCGGCTTTATTCCTCATTGATGTTATTGATAACGGAACTCTCCCATGAATTCTCTCAATTTGGGAAGCAAAATGATTCTGAATGATGACGGCCTTAAGGTGCGTTTATTAAACTTCGTAGTTCTCTCTCCACGCATTTAAAAAAAGAATTTTGCGCTGAGAGAGACAGTGGTCTGAATTTGTTTGGTACTTTGAAGAATGTGATCTTCTTCATAGACCTGTAAACCAGGTGATCTCCGTGTTCATCAGAATTGAACTGGCTCCTGGAATTGCGAATAAGCATGGTCGTTGTTTTGCGACATGAAAAAAAAAACTCGGAAGGTTTTTCATCTCTGGTTATTCTACTCTGCTCCCTGAACCCCAATGTCAAACTCTCCTGTCGTTCTTCCGGGTCTGACCTTGGCGTTGAGGTCGCCGATAAAAGTTTTTGCAGAATCATATGGAATACGTACGAATCGATGTTCATGGCCAAGTGCCTGTTGAAGGGGACATCAACACTGCCGCCACGTCTGCTGTCGCACGTTCTAAGGAGCAGTGTTCCTCCGGTTTCGAAACCGGGTGCTGCTCCCATGACTACTCCTCTCGGTCAGCCCGATGACGTCGTACCTGATCTTGCTATCTTGTACGTCAGATCTTCGACACACTCTTCCGATGCACTGAAAGTACACGTTGCCATCGCACTCCTACTCATCTTAGACAGCCTAGTATACACTAAGATCCTGAACAGCCTCTTCCGGGTGGTCTTACCCAACGCTGTCATATTGCTGCTCGCTCATGTTCGGAGGATTGAGGCTCATCTAATTTGTTGTTTCTGGCATAGTAACTCGCCAGATTTTGACGTGAGAAGTTGGTAGACTTCGGGTAACCAGGCAGGGCTGGGCATAGGTATGAGAGGAGGCTACAGTCAAATACGAATTCACCCAGTATTATGCAAACGAACACCTCGCCGTGGGTAAATCAAACACATTCGTCGTGAAGTAACCATCTACCTGAAGAAGTAAGCCAGGGATGAGCTTTGGTCTTTGAGCTCTTTCAGATATTCAAAAGCAGCGATTTATGATTTTCTTCTTTTTTTTTCACTGTGAATCGTAACTGACTCATTACATTGGTTGATTTGACTCGCGAACTGGTCAAAGCGTCACGAGAAGTCTGGAACACATCCAGTTGAATGGCCTACATTTATTTCAGATGAACAAATCTAAACATAAACGGAAGTGAAATTAGCAGCCGCATGAGCGATTTCGACATTGAACTTTTGGATTAGAAAGTGGCTGCGATTTCCTATTTGAAACGAAGGATGTAACCCAGTTTCTCTCATTCACTGCAACTAGGAAATGCTAGTCAGCAAGAAGTTGAGGAAAAGGCTGGGAAATGAAGAATGAGAGGCAGAGCACAGTTTGAGGACAAGTATGAAGCGGGAGCGAAAAAAGTCATTGTCACATTGCCGACTGCTGGGATCTCTTATCGTCTTGCGCGACTTTTTCACTATTTCGTCTCTGCTGCTTTGTTACCGCAGTCCTCTTTTGGTCACTACGATTCAGGAAATTGATCTTCGCATATCCAACAATTTCATGCAAGTCAGCTGGTGCGTCACGTAGCAGTGTATCGCGTTAAAAACGATCTCACATATCACGATCATAAAAAACGATCGGCTCAAGACCTACATATTCTTGCTTGCTAGAAGCGCGTTTAGTTGCAAGTGTACCATTCGTTTATCAAAGCCGTTTTCAATTTCTTCAACATCCCGAAATTATGAATTTGTTCTGTTATTCTTTCTTTGACATCATATCTTTTCAGGTACCTGGACATCTTCTGCCGAGTCTTCTATCCACTGAGCTTTCTCCTGTTTCTAATCATGTATTATTTTGTGTTCACTGAAGGACGACAAGACGACTGCATCAATCGACGAACGCGGTAGAGCCGTCTGATCATATTTGGGCGATCCGCGCACACTGGGAAAGTCAAATCTTTTTGTTAAAACGAGAAAACGCAACGGCTTTTGTGGACGATCACGCTTTAACAGTGATCATCGTGGACTGACGTCCCTAAAATGTTCTTTCCCTATTCTATTGGAAACTTTTGTTGTGTATTGCCAACTATTGTTATTTTTTTCGGAATCAATAAAATCACTACAATTTTCCGGTCCACCCATACATCTGTGGAATAAACAGGTGATCAAGCTAGAGAATCTAGGGTGACTGTACTTCTCCTTGATTTCCCACGTTCGCTCTGCGACATGCCACAAATCTTTTTTAGTTGCCCCGCAGCTTCAATCCGCAAACACCGTACTCAACCCGACTCCCCGCCAATCGATAAGGGGGGACGGAACTTTCACCCAGTACAAGATGGACGCGGCAAATGGCGTGGCGAGATTCGTGGGGTTTAGGACACTTCGGCACCTATCATTTTGGCGTAAACATGAAGTAGAGCACATTAGTATGGTCAGATGATCGCACTAATCAACTCTACTTCGAATTTGGACCCCAATGATAGGCGCTAAAATCGTTCAAATCACCACGAATTTCGCTGCGCGATTTGCCGCGTCCACCCAGTTCTGGGTGAATGTACCCATACCCATCGGTAAGGATGTAATATTTTCCGTTGATTGCCTTTCTTTTTGATTAGTTTTGATTATTTTTTCTCTTTCTTTTTCGTTTTTATGTTTACTAGATTCAATGGTTTGGAATGTCTCCTATGTTATCGACGTTAAAGACCGCATTGGAATTGAAGGGAGCGGCCAGCAAATTCAAACGATTAAAGGACTCCCTAACTCACAGATTGCGCGCTCCAAGTTTCTATCGCATTTCTACGTTACGCGGCGGGTGCGGCAAGCGCGACGCACTGTTTGGGGAAAAGGTACCAGACCCAAGAACTTATGGAGATACTCATTTATTTATTCCAAATTCCTTGCCAGATACTTGTTATGGAATTCAAATTCCTTTCATTGCAGTCTGAAATGATCCAAAGGCGCTTTAATAGCCAAGGCCTCAGCTCAGAGCCAAATGCATAATGTATGCTCAGATGAAACTGATCAATAGTCTAGTACAGTCTTTACATTTTTATTATTATTTAACAATTAACTATGAGCTATCAATAACATACCATAATCAGAAAGCAGTTCGAGCTATCTCCAACTGAGGAATGTCTGACATATACACGCATAAATGACTCAAACCTCAACACTTATCGTTTACCACCGTAGCCACCAGCACCCGCGAAGTTAGTGGAGGGCAGCGACCGGTTGTCATCGTCGGTTTGAAGTCGCGGCTGTGGTCCGGGGTTTACAAGCAGAATGGAGTCAACGTTTTGGCACACGCAAACGCCTGGTTCTCCAGGTGGTCCCTGTCCTCCCATAGGTCCTTCCGGTCCTGGGTATCCTGGCTCGCCAGTTTCACCAGGTACACCAGGCCATCCTCGTTCTCCCTGTGGGCCTGTCATTCCGCTGCGGCCGGGTAATCCGGGCATTCCACTGGCTCCAATGGGACCAGGCGGTCCCTCGTCTCCGGGCGGTCCTTCACGAAGCTCTCCTTCGGGTGTTGGTCCCTTGTCTCCAGGAGCTCCAGGCCCTCCTTTATAACCAGGTGGTCCCTTCGGTCCTGGCTCTCCAGGAGCGCCATCCTCGCCATCTAGTCCTTTCTGGAACGACAAATTAGATAGGTGATTCACTAGCCATTTTTATTTTCCTAAAAGGCAAAGCAACCTACTTCTCCAGGTGGTCCAGGAGGACCGACATCTCCTGGAAATCCAGGCCAGCCCTTGATTCCAGGAGGTCCCTTCGGACATGGACGACACGGAGGCGGTTCGCGCATGATATTCATTGGGCACGTTTGATTAGGGGTGACTCCAGGCATTCCAGGCTTACCTGCTTGTCCCGGTTTGCCCGGCGTACCTGGTGTACCAGAAGGGCCACGAGGACCAGGTGGGCCAGGGATGCAGCAACCTAAATTGACAGTCCCCAGCATTTTCCTTGCACATTTATGTTACAGTCACTTACCGGGACATTCTGTCTCGAGAGGGGTTCCTGTCACTTCATCGCCATAGGCCGCTCCTTTACGACCATATGCACTTCGTTGGGTACGATTGAGGGGCATTTTTCCGTATTCAAGTTCAATCAGCGCTTCTTGGTTTGAACGCTGGAAACCAGAATTATTGTCGACCGTCCATATTCTCATTTTCATTTTCCCCTGGTTGTTCTCGAATGAGTCCATGAATGTTTTATGTTGTTGAGCAATTCTGTTTGACTCATGGCACATTACCTAATTATTCATAGAAGATTGAGAGGCGAGGTCTTTTGAAATAACTTTCACCTTGACGCTTTCATTCCTAGTGCTAGAATTTGGCTTCGAGATAGAGCAGATAGCGGTCCCGCCCATTCGAGTTGGGCCATTTAAAAGAAAAACATGAACGCCAAATAGTTTCCATAGCTTCAACCTTGCTATATTCTGTCAGTACTGCCTCATCTTTCAAAGTTTTCAAAGTGGTTTACTCAAGTCAAAGGTGAACTGACGTTCCGATATAATCAACTTCTTCAGATGTGACCCAGCACGAAAGCGCATGCTTCATTGTAGTGGTTGAGCTACTCAGAATCAACAGAACTCACTTCGCAAAACTCCATTTCCTGTTCTACGTACTCGATGGTTGTTTGTACATTGTTGTACATCAGCGGAAGTGCTATGCACAGCGTTGTGACGGAGAGAGCACTGAAAGAACTCAAGATGGAGGCGGTCTCTAGCTTCTTCACTCTCCCCTTCACTGGTTTGAAGCAAGACCAGTTCTCAGGGAAGCAAATTATCAGCAGTATATTAATCATAGAACTACAACATTAATCATTGAATTTTGCTGTAATTCAAGAGGAAACATTTCAAGACGAGGAATTGATAATAACGTGAATGCATTGAATGACTTTTCTAAAATCTACTACCTCTAAGTTGTCTTTCGGAATCAGAGGAATCCTTCACCGCATTACTACGCCCTATGAATTAACATACGGATAACACGTGGACTCAATGAGTCGTAAAGTGAACATTATCATTCTCTGAAGAAGTTGAGCTTGTGGAGCACGGTCCCTTTTGTTTTGGCAGAGACCGAACGACAATAGCGAAGGACCGCGGATAATGGACCGCACCTTCAGCAAGGCTTTAGCCAATAATGCTGTACGTGTTCCCAGTATTTTAGGAGTCGAAAATCGAAATTTCCCTCTGAATGCAGTAGAACGAGATTCGGGACAAATTACTAAACGAACATGGCGTAGTCTGAATCAACCGATCGACAGCGTCACGTTGATGCACGTACCACTTGCCACTTTCAAAACTTCCACTCACAGTGATTATTTTAAGAATGCCCAATAGAGGTGAACTGTTGTGTAGCAGTTGTGCTTTAGATCTTCCACGGTGAAGTTAAAATGTTTGAACTATCGTCTGTTGCATTTACTGTTGTACATTGTTGTACATCATCGTCCGACTCAAAACCTCGAAGAAATTTCGACACCTACAATTCCTCCCCGTCTTTAGTGGTCACAGAATCGGCTGTAGTAAGACTGCATTCTAAAGGAAACATCGAGTTTATCCACACCATGTTCACCTCTGGCAAAGGTCTGTCTAGTGGTGATCCTACACGGGGATATGGTTAATTTTACCATTAACATTAAGTAAATGCCGAATGATGACAACCGTTTGGGGCTTGAGCAATAATTGACACTCTGATATACCGAGAAGTTCCTATGCGAGAAAAAGTTTCGGGACACTATCAATATTAAGGGGTATCTGACGAAATTTCTGGCGAGAACCCTCGGATTAAGCCCCAGCTCTCAGCTTCTATATTCAGGCAGAAGAGGCGTTTATAAGTGAGTCGCCGATACAATAAGTTGCGATGGCCAGTCAATAAACATTTCAGTGTTTTGATTTTCCTAGAGGAAACGTGGTACTGATTAACTGAACTCGGAGGGATGGAATGCTAACTTGGTCGGTTTGGGTTTCGATCCCTCCCCGTCTACAAAAAAGGAAGATATGATATTCTTTTTTCGCGAAAAATTTGTATGCATTCGAATGTATCTGACCTTACACTAAGTTATTCTGCTTCTACAAGAAATGCTTCGCCATCTCACCAACCGTTAATGATATAAGGGCAAGACTTGAACTCAGGATTGGAAGATATGATATTAGTCACGATGAGGCAAAAGCTGATATATTCCCGTATTGTAAGCTACATTTCACTGGCGCTTGGGTAAATTAGGATTAAGAGCGCGACGGAATCGGCATGAAGTGTTTGTAGTTGCTCAATGATTCGTGCATCGGCACCGGGTGATCTCCTCGAGAATGAATAAGCCCAACCCTGAGAAAATCACTGTCCATCCAAGTGTTACTTATTATTCATGGCCACAAATTATTATGAGTTATTGTGGAAAAAAGTGATCCTTGAAGTGTATTCATTAGTAAGAGGAATGATCGGCTCACCTAAAGACAATCTGCAGAGCGGTAACGAACTGGTATATTCTTTTCCTCGGATTCGATATTGTGAGCGATGACAGCGGACAGCTTAATAAAAATTAATCTATGATTCAGTTAAAAGAAAACTTATCAGAACCAGTCCACACATACATGTTGTATGCACTTTGCCCTAGAAACGCACTTACCCGTCGTTGCCTGCCTTTGACATTCTTTGTCGGCCACCACCAGTATCGCTTTATTTTCTCGTTGTCGTCACTTGACCAATCCTCGAAGATATATGTAGCCTAGATTCATTTCCATAATTCAATTTTTTATTGATTCTTTTGCTTTAAAAAAAAACTCTGTAGAGGTAACCTACCTTCCGGCCACCACGGCGGAATTTGGGCCTTTTATTTAGTACAGCAAGCACTGCAGCCCACAGTCGGGTAGCAACCGAGTTTTCTTTTTCTGGCTTTTCTTTGATTATGCTGAATCGGTAGATTACATCTTCTCAAACTACTGGAAAGTGTTAAAGAAGGTTTCACTCACTTCCCGTTAGAATCTTGTTGGTTTTGCACTTCCCGATTGTTTTTCTTTAATTGCTTGACAGAATTCCTCGGACTTTTGGAGGCAGAGTCGTACTGGTCGCGAGCTTCCTAAATAAGACAGAGAGTAAGGCTTATTAGGACTGAGGTACATTGAAAGGGTTCAGGAAATGTGATCAATATAGACCTCCTGGTATCAAGCAAGACTGCCAAATACAAGAATCTATGCCCAGATCTAGAAATGCCGAAAAGAAAATTTTGGAAAACCCCTCAAAAGATCATGTTACGAAAGTTAATCGACCTTGTTTTGTTATTTGTAACATCAAAAACTCTAATGGATGAGATACAGAAGAGATGTGGAATATGGATGGCGGGTAGATTGGAAAGATACCTGTACGACGATGGGCGGGGTCATACGGGTTGCGACCCAGTTGTCAGGGATCGTGTACCTGCAACGATCGAATTACTTTTCAAGTGAAAGCTACCCATATGGAATTTGTGTGCAGTCATATGTATGGAACAGCAGAATGTTGGTGCGAACGCTTCTGAAAGTGAGAAGAAAGCGAAAGTTACACATTTCATGGAAGAGTAAAAATTGGAGCCGATTGCTGAGTGATGTCGTTGTTTTACTTCTTTTTTCTTATTCTCTTCTAATCAATCTTTCCATTTTGTTATAATTATGCCATTATTGATGTCCATTGAAATCGCTTATCCACTACAATATGGCACTTTTTTTCTTTTAATTTTGCTTAACTTCAGGCTACACAGGGGAGATACCTGCATTGTGGATAGGGCAAGGACAGTCAATACATACATAAATAAACATAGCTATTTTTTTCAGCTCGACATTTGCTGCTTTTCTTTGCTTTGTAGTTTCTGTTTCACTCCCAGCTTTGCCTTTACTCTCAATGCTTTCCTTTCGAGTGCGCCATGCATGCGAAAGAGGGCTCGTATTAGCAGTCAAGCGAATGAATTTTTGCAATACCACAAATGCACAACATAGTTTGCAATGTGCAGTGTCTATTAGGGGCACAGAATTTAGGTCTACGCAAGGTTATTGCAAATAGCATTGCGTAGACCTAATTTTCGGGGCTTTTCCGTAAGGCTAAAATCTCGTCGTAGCATCCTCTTCAGCTTGAACTTGATGCTGCTCTTTCAAAACACTATCTGATGAATGTGAAGAACCCAGGCCCTTGTATACGCGAAATTGCATCAAAAATTACAGGGGGACGGAACATTCACTCAGAAGTGATAGACGCGACAAACTACGCGGCGAAATTCGTGGTGATTAAAACGACTCTGGCCCCTATCATTGGGGCAGAAATTTGGAGTGAAATAGATAAGTAGCATCAGCTGGCCCTACTTATTCAATCTACTTGAAACCCGTGCCCAATAATGTGAGCATGTGCCAAAACCGTTTTAATCACCACGAATTTCGCCACGTCCATCCAGTTTTGGGTGAATACCCAAAATTGCAAGCCCGTCAACGAGACTCCATATGCAGTTGTCATCTATCATTTATTTCCCATTGAGTATATATAGTATATATTTCACCTCAGCACGATTTACAGGAAAGTCGGTCAAAAATCTTATCAGGGAGGCTCATTATCAGATTGTGTGGGAGCTCGCCTTCGTTCACTAAGATTCTTTTCAATTCTCAACGTGAAAATCCCCTACCACTTGGAAACTACGCAAACTGATGAGTTTTCGGAGAGAATGATCTGAACAACCGGATTAGAGGTTGACCTCAATTCCAACTGCGAAATTAATCATACCGACGGGAGTGCAGCCGTAAAACAATGACAGAAACTTGAAATCTCATGAGTTTTATGATGTGCTGACCAATCATCACCCGTTTAAATGCAGTTATTTGGTCTGTTTTATAAATGAAATGAGGACTTTCAAGGGCATCTTTGCATGAGGAAGTTCGAATGAAAAATGGAGAGTCAGAGCAATTATGCAGAAGCTTAAAACAGGAACTCTAGTGAGATGAGTAGCGCCGCCGACTGCGCTGCTGATATCTGGGAGTGCGAGATCCGTTGGCCGACCTTGACCGTACGTTGTACTCCCACATCCGAAATGGATAAACAACACCCGAAAGGCAACAGCAACTCACACGCTCGGCCCGGCAGTGAATATCTTGCGAAATCGACGGTAGCGATTGATGCGCTCACTGAATTATTCTGTCAGAGGTTCTTACAGTATTACCCTATCCCTGGATCGTTGGAACATGGCTTTGGATGAATAGCTCAACTATAATGTAATAGCTATGAATGTTTTGCAATATTCCTGAGTGGCCAGATTCATGAAGGAATACATGAATAGCCATTGCAGTAACGTTGTGATTGCAAATATATCTGTTAGCTGCAGGGACGATCAGTTCTTAAGTTTGGAGTAATAGGTTAAATCCCTGCAGAGCAATGATTCAAAGTTTTAACTTGATCACCTAGTATGTAGGTAAACATCAGGCGATGCTATTGATGCCTATGACAAAACTCATGTTTGCGTTTCTGCTGCGACCATTAGTCCAAGATCTTAAAACAAAAAGGTGAGTGCTTTCAACCGTTTACCCGAAAAAAGTTCTCTCCAGTTAAAGGCTCCTGCTGTACAAGAAAGTCGTATGCCGTCATTAAGTTTCATATTTGTGTCTGGCTCGAAAAAAGTAAGAGTAAATGGCTTCTGAGCTGGTCTACTTATCAACCAGTGCGCATTTTATGCAATTACCAGCCAGGTCGCTCGGCTTACGCCGACGTTCCCTGTGCTTTGATTCGGTCTAGGCGAAAGAACATAGGTTTCAACTGAGCCTCGGGAGGGGTGGGGCTCAGATGATTACCTCCTACAAAAAGCTGGAATGGGTTAAGAGCTGAATATTCAATTGACTCATCGACCTCGGTGCTCCTTTGCTTCTGAAGCTCAGGTCAAAAACTGTATGTTTAGCGGCTAACAGACGTTCCTGAGCACATTTGCGGGCCAACTTCCTTGCCTGCGCTCTATGCTCAATGTTGAAAAAAAAACGGGGGTCTCCTATCCACATTATCACCTACGGCTTTTGTTTAGACATACACAGTACGATACCAGTACAGATCGAAATCACAGTTTTGAAGTCTCCGCTTAGCTCCACATTAGTCACTTTACCCCGCAGCACTCACTCTACTCCATTAACCTACACACCAATTTACTGCACTATGTATAAGAAGAAGATGGGCTTGCCATATCCATACCATTATCGCAATCATAAAGTTTGCGGACGGACAGACCGACAAACCGGCACACCGACATACCGACAAACCGACAAACACCCAAACCGTCAAGCCGACACACCAAGTTACTGCTTTATAAATAAGAGAAATGACTCCTTGGCTCGGTAATTCACTAAGCCTCAATTTCCTTGCGGAACTGCCATTGCTTACATGTATGTTTAGAAGCATGAGAGTACCTTTTCTGGCAATAGCGACAAAGGAGGTGACGTAGTGGCAAGTGGCGCACTATCTCACACGCACGGTCAGGAGTTCTAATTCAGGATCGATATCCACCTAGGCCAACCAAGCCTTCCATCCCTCCGAGGTCCGTTAATTGGTACCAGACTCGTCTGGGAAGATAAAAACATTGATTTGTACATCGGCTGTCCACCGCAAGTCTTTGTATAGACCACATATGCACTCATTACGCCACTACGATTCAGAATGGAAGTCGGTGCATCCCTCAGACGGGATTGATTAACACCAAAAACCTTATCCTTTATCCTTTAGACAAAACAAGTTCAGCCTTAATGAGCCGCGAATAAGTGTAAGACTACTGAGGGATTGAGCAAATCCAAGTACTTCAACAGCACCACATTTTGCATCTGTTGACTTGATTGGAACCCTATGTACAGCCACATTACATTCTCCTATGTGAAAGCGAGATGCCTGTGACCTGAATCGACATTCGATTTACCGAATGATAACAATGTACCCGAACAGTGAACGATTGAAATGTTTCGATTAGACGACCCATCCATCACTTCGCCGATGTCTATAAAGTTTCCGGCTTTGGCGGATTTAGGGCATATATCATTTACTTGCGCCGACGATCGTGGACGCCTATCCTTTCTACTGTCGATCAGATGGCCTACTTCCCGAGAATTTCTCTAGAAAACATCGGGTCATACCGCACGTGTTTCGAAGTGATGGATTCCTGGGATAAAACAATGGTATCATGACATTTATTAGGTGGAATCTTCTGGACTAACGAAAGATTCGCGAGGTTTGTTGGAATGCATTACAGTACCTCGAAACAACGTTGAAACACACACACATGAAAAATGCATACAACGTAACATATAATATTTGACCCTTAGTATTCGCATCTGCACGGTTTCCGTCCTATAAAAAAGACAGAAGGCAACAGCAACTGATAAAAAAAACTGGAAAATATGGCCCTTTCCTGACGATGAACCACGAAATAAAACGAAAGAACATCTGAATGAGCATCGAGGGTATTCAAATGAAAAAAAAACAATGAAAAGCGATTATAGATCGCCTAGTGCTGACGGAGTCGACGAGCCCTCTTCTTCAACTTTCGGTTGTAGTAACCACCATTTTCGTTATTAGAGTAGGACTCTTCTACGGCCATACCAACAGCAGGAGCTCTGAAAGACGCGTCCTAACATATTGCGTTCTCTTTTAAGCTACATTGATCTCTCTCACATTTCTTGAAGAGAAGGGGTAGTTGTTTGTTCCTCCTCTTTCGCTGCACCCATTACATAGGGATCGTCACGTGAGGCTGGAATCTTTCCGTTCACATCTGCCATAACTACTTCAGTATCCTGGCAGACACACGTTCCGGGTGTACCTAAAACACGAGTTTCGCATAGGAAGGAAACTACTTAAAACTGAGGAAAAACTGTCCTACACATACCTGCTGGTCCCTCTTCACCACCGGGTCCTGCTGGCCCAGGCAGTCCCATAGGACCTGGAGCTCCTGGCGGTCCAGGCCATCCTTTCTCACCTGGAGTGCCAGGATAACCATCTTCGCCTGGCATCCCGGCATTTCCTGGAGGTCCCCATGGCCCAGGGGGTCCAGGGTCTCCAGGTGGTCCGGGAATGACGTGTGCTTCCGGAGTTCTCCCCTGAAGTCCACAATTTTTTGTTCCTTCTTCCATTATTATTCAATTCAACCAATCGTTAATTCAGTGTTTCTTGAGACAATCGTAATCGAAAAAAGAATGCATAGGGCGGTCATACACCAAACGTTCGCGATGAAATCAATAGGAAACGCAGAAGAAAGCTCAGTGGTATTACCTTGTCGCCAGGTGGCCCTGCGGGTCCAACAGGCCCAGGTGGTCCGACGGGGCCAGGTTCTCCTTGATTGCCGGGAAGTCCATCAGCACCTGGTCGCCCTGGAATTCCGGGATCACCATGGTCTCCTGGGAATCCTGGATGCCCTGGTAGTCCTCGAGGCCCTTGTGGGCACGGCAAACATGGAGGAGGCTCAAATATGCGTTCAGGTATGCAAGATGCGTTCGGCGTGGTACCAGGTCGGCCGGGAGCTCCGTCTGGGCCCGGTGCACCAGGCAGAGCGGGAAGACCAGGATCTCCAACGGGACCCCGCTCACCGGCAATGCAGCAAGCTGCAATAAATCACTTTAACGATAAAAATGCACTAAACAGAATAGGGCTCACCTGGACACTCTTGGAATTGAGGGGTGTCTGAGACCAGCATTGATGGGTTGTATGCGTGTCCATAGCCAGCAGCACGAGCTGACCTACTTCCGTTGCTGTGACGGAATGCTTCTCGAACTGAGATCATCTCCTGCTCCATATCGGTAACGGCGCTCTGTGAGAGCAAACATTGAATGATGAAATTCTTTTAATAATGTTAAGTATACCTCGCAATAGGCAAAATCAAGTTTGCCAAAATGTCCAATGTTGTCGACAAAATTGTACATAGATGGGACTACGAGGCATATAGTCAACAAGGAAAGCACCGACAGTGATCCTGACACCCCAATAATAAATTTGTAAGCTTCTTCACGAGCCTAAAAGTGCATAACAGTAAAAGTAGTAGTTGTAGAACCATAAAAGAACGAAGCTAATGAGCACATTTCAATGGCTATCTGACCTCAAAAAAGCCTTCCTGGTGCGGGGTAGACCCGCGTGGCCTCGGATCCTTCATAGAGTAAGCAGGTCTAAAAATTGAATCAGCAAAATACAGTACAAATCTGACATTCTGCTTAAATCTTAAACTCACTTTCTGGTCCGTTAATCCGCGTTCGCACTTGGCGCAGGTAACGATTTTGAAAAAAAGGAGTAGCGCAGGTACTGGGAATTGATGAGATTCTTCAAGATATCGAACTCCTTCAAATCGAGTTACAGAACTATATTCTAATCGTTATGTCCAAGGCGATGAACTTGCAGAAAACGTCTAACTTCTTACTAATTGAACAATTTGTCAGTCTATAATTGAGTGTGCTGAATTATTTTTAGAAAAAATAACAATAAGTAAAATGCGGAAAAATTTAAAAAAATCGTCGACAAGGTAAGCAGCTGATCAATGGGATATTGTATGAAAAAGGAATATCTATGGACCATTATTATGGCGATCATCACCTCTAACCACTTCAGAGCTATTTTGGTGGACTTGGGACCCGAAGTACAGGTAAGTACGGGTTACGGAAAAAGGTAATGCAAAACTGAAGCAATTTAATCCATCCAAGACTTTCGTTCAGAGAAAGAAGTCCAGAATATAAATATGTGAACATTTCAGAAAATCACGAATGTTAATCTCAAATCCAAATACTACAGCCCTTTTCTCATTCCAAACACGGTCTTCTCTCGCTTAACGTCTATGTTGACGATTCCCTAGACAGCTCCCCACGGCCTATGTTGCTTCCTCTTTTGATATTTTTTGATGATAAATAAGCTGCTATAAAAACAAGGATTAGAATTGCTGGTAGTTGATGTAGAGGTACGGGAGAAAGTCCTCAAGAAGTCCGAAGAGTATGGTGTCGCGATCGCAGCCGCCTGATACGTAGCAGCCATCGGGCCGCGGGTCAGGCATCGTCTCGATCTTGACCCCAATACCCACTCTCATGAAACCAAGCAGAGATAACCACGACCACGACGCTACCCAAGAATACAGTACCGCCATCTCCGCTACAATTTGACGTGATCGATTTCTCGAACACAGTTGCGCGCTGTGGAACTTCGCACGGCTTCGGGAAAACCACCTGGCCCGCGAGTTCACTTACCTCCTATCTTATGATGAATCGATCTTCCGCCTCACTGCATTTCAATGAATTTTGAGGAGGCCACGAAATCGAATGTTTACTGCTATGTAGTTATAGAAATAAGACTTCAGGGAAGTATATATGGACTCAAATATTCACGCTTTCACAAAAAAAGAGAGATTGAGATTTGGAGAGATAAAACATGAAATAAATCTTCCGAGCTTGTCACTCTTAATAAGAGGCTTTTGAGAAACTCTTTGGATCTTCTTAAGGGCACAGTTCACGATAATTTTGAGGTATCCTCTTAAGGTAGAAAAGTGGAAGTGTCGATGTAGAGGAGTACATCGGTGTCGAAAAAAGCGAGAAAATCCGCCTACTTCAAGGCTTTTCAGAAGTAGTGGAAGTGCGGGTTGCACAAGATCACCGTGACGGTAATGGCATGTAAGGGGTGTTTGGACGAGATTTAATTTGCTCCCATTGCTCAAAGAGATGACTAAATCAAGCCGAAATTGCCCGGAATTGTCTTCCACTGTTGCCATGGGTTATGAAAAGTTGTTTGAACCTCCTACATTGGTTTCCTTGTGAATGGTGCAGCCTTCACAAAGCCGTTGAAACTCGTCCACAAGGGGCGTGGCATTCACACGATACGATCTCTAGCCCCTTATTGTGCCCTATCCAGAACGTTTTTCGCCCTTATAACGACAAGTATGGTACTAAGGGAGTATCGAATTCATACTATAGGGGAATCCCAGAAAACCTTTTTATCGTGGACTGTGCCTTTAAGGATGAGATGTGTTTTTCTACTTGCTGCTGAGCAGGTAACAGAACCAGTTTTTCACAACGTGTGGCACTCTAACTCAACAAGATTAACTGAAATGAAGAGCTGCGTTGGGCAGAGAACACGGTAACATGTGCTACCAGAGAGCTGAATTGACGACAAAAATGAAGGCTATACACGGCTGCATAGAAGGGTTTAAGACAGAAGCAATCTCTCTCGAATTTTATTTTTCTCGCTCTCATCCATCACACAATGACTTGAATATGCTCTCTATCTCTACGTAGGGAAGGTGAATTTCTGAGCTTTCAACGCTCGAAAAATCTGAGTAGTTTACTTGATTTCTTCTTGTTTTGACAGCATGAGTGAACGTTATAATGTTTTGATGCCCTTTCTGTAAGTGGCTCTTACGACAATAATAGAAAGATACTTTGTTGACTTCCATATCCCTTGAAGTTCGAATATCCTGAAACAATTGATAGTCAGCGGAATCCAAAAAACGTTTTGAAAGGATCAGATGTGATTCTCTGCCGAGTTTGTAGCTGAAATCAATCGTTTCACACTTTACAATAAAGGATAAGATGATCCTTCTTAAGCGATATGTTTGATATAGTGAAGTATAAGATGATATTTCCCAAAACCATATGGGTGATTCCAATACTAGTCTCACTAAGATGTTTTTATTCGTCGCACGATTCACAGGATTTCCTTCCAGAAAACCCACATTCCAAATGTGCTAATTGAAAACGATGAATCGAGTTCACCCCTAATCCTTCACTTCGCATGATCGCAAAAAATTAGAACATGGGTGCGAAACAAATATCAACCCGTTTCTGTGTTTTGATGAATCGATGAAATGAAAGGGTTTGAAAACGTTGGCATCCCATGACAATAAGTCATTCCATAACAAGTAAAAGCATGAGAGGATTTGAAACGAAGCATTATCCCCAGAAAGTTTTTCTCATCTTCTGAGAAGTTGTGTCAGAAAAGGATATTTCCCATTGAAGGTAATAACGTATATGTACACTTTTGCTTACTCGGTATAAGCCTTCCATGGCGCGAGATTGTACATGCTTTTGGTTCTCATGCCTGAGCACTTCTATCGATACTGCACGAAATACCTTACACAATAATAATGGCCCTTCCAGAGAATGCTACATATTCTATTTAATGAGATAGGATAAAGTTTGAAAAATGGTGATATTTCTAGACCAAAAAAACTAAATCGGATTGTATTTGAGGGATCCTCACATTGGTAGACCTGCATGACAGACCAACATACAGTGCGTTTCATAATTATAAGGTCACCCTCGATTTTTGCCATTCTGGAGAAAGCAGCCAGAATGGAATTTTTTGGCAAATACAGGAAGATTCCTCATCAAAATGTACTCCGTATTCAAATTTTGGTCGCGATATCCTTCACCTCAAATTTTCTATGAGTTTTCTAAAGATAGTGTCGGCTTTTGCATCGTTTCATAATTATAAGGTCACCCTGAAAAAGTAAATGATTTATTAACGTTGATGGCATATGCACAACACTTAATAATCTATATCTCCCCCTTGTTTAAGAGCAACATCAAAGAGTCTGCGTGGCATATTAGAAACTAGGTTTCGAAGATGTTCCTCATCGATTGCTCTCCATGCTTCGATAATCGCCCGCTTCAGCTCTTCTGTGCCCTGGAAC